AATCGAGAATCTTTGAACCAAAAAAAGAACATAGAAAGTCTTGCCATCATGATCCACCAACTTACACAATTATTTTTGTGGGCGGGGAGACCAAAACCCAAAGGGCTAATAAAATGTGAAGCCCCGATAGTTGGATTTGATAACTACCCAACAACAGCAATTAGGGTCCATCTACTTATTGTTTTTGTTACCAAAAAGGGCAATAGGCTTTAGAAAAGTGGGCGTGGCCCAGTGAGTGAGCTGTCCGAGGACAAGACATCCTTTTAAGTTTGACAATGCCTTAACTACTTAATCGATTCTCTTCTATGCTTTTTTTTTTTTTTTTTAATAGGCACAGGGATCCTTACTAAATTTAAAAGCAATTCTATTCAAGATATTATAAGACACTTATAGTGAGTACCCTCTTTTAATAAAAATTTGAATCTTGATTTATCATATTATAAATGACTAACTCCGTCTATTAGATCCAATTCTGTTGATTTTTTTTGGGGGTTATCAAAGGAATTCTCTTGTAAGTTGATAGAAAAGATAATCCGTTTATTATATTTCAATGACCCCACCCAGTCCGCGACTTTACATGCTTGTGGCGAACACGAGCCATGAAATCCTAGAAGGCAATCTGCACCACAGGTTCACTTCACGAGCAACTCTCACCCAATCTATTCCTCCGTTGAATGATTTCATGCGCCTTTTATTATTTAAATATTAGCTTAATGGTTTTCGACTCCTTGTGATATCATAAACATTATTTAACCTTTACCCCTCCGTCTTATCGGAAGAACGTTCACCCTCTCTTTTTTGTTTTGTGATTTTTTATATGCCAAATGAGAAAACACCAACAATTTCCAACAACTAAACAGCAAGCTCTGTAACCATACTACGTGTCGTCCATACTAGTTTCATTATTTCTCCCATTGAAATTCTTACTTCTATACTAGCACATTTCATTACTATCGGTCGTTTTGCTTGGAAAAGTACTGACATTGTTGGAGACTAACCAATATATTAATATTAGGCTAACCATATACACGTTATTATCTTACAAACACACACACACACCACAAACAAGCCTAACTTACGACCAAAAAAGAACACAGGCTATCAATCCATTTTCAAAAATATCATTTAACATAACGATATTTGATTGCATGCATTTTTTTTCTTTTTTTTGCGCAAAAAATTGTAACTGGAGGCTGAAAATGTAGAGCCTGAATCTTCGATTTGAGGGAGAACGGGGTCCACAAGAGATCGGGAGCAGCTTGTAAGGGATAGACACAAGAAGGGTCAGATTGGGAGTGTGGATAAAAGGCATGCTCGTGGCCAATCAGAATCAGAGAAATCACAACGTGTCCCTCGGCCCATAATGCGGCGTGTGGCATTTCCGTAAGACCCAAGTTCAAGGCACAATTTTACTTCGTTTTGGCACCAACCCCTCCACGCGTTTCTCGATCTACCCTTCCATTAGTGTAGCCTCACATCCGAACAGCTCCTTGGGAATTCGTTCAACACAACAACTACCAAACGATTCCTTGCTGAGACATTTTCGCCTCTTGCCTTCGTCTTTCAGTTTCCCATTATTCCTCTCTGCAATCTTGGTTAGGGTTTGACGCAGTCTCAATGGCTGTTTCAACCAGCTTCTCTGGTGCCAAATTGGAGGCCTTGTTGCTGAAATCTTCTTCCCCTGCGTCGAGGGCTTCCTCTGCTACCCGTTTTTCGGAATTTGGCAAACCCGGCTCAATTAAAAAGACCCTGATTCAGAGAGGAATAATTCGCTGCGACGCTGCTGTTCCTGAGGTGTTGATCAAGGCCGATGATCCGAGTAATGGCACCAGCGTCTCTGCTCTTGAGCAGCTCAAGACTTCTGCTGCTGACAGTAAGTCTTGTTCTTGATTTTCAGTTAATGTTACGATGACAAGGCCCATTGGATAGTTTCTTTTTTTTTTCTCCCTGAACTGATTAATTGTTTCCGCAACTCAGTTACTAGATTGCAATAGTTTGGTACTTTGAGATTTTTAATTTGAATCCAAATTGAGGTTTGATTCTTTCCAATCGTTTACATTACTAGTTCCCAGTTACAAAATGAAGAGTGTTATAAGATGAGAGCGAATGCTCTTATTTGTCTTCTGTAACGATTCTCGTTTATAATCTTAGTTGTTAGAGCCAAGAACAGCTCATCATGCACGGAGAAAGAATGAAAAATTTTAGGCTGGAAGTAGTGTACCGTTCGCCTTAAGGAAACGTTCACTTTGCTCTTGACAAACTGCATAAAAAGCTGGACTTACTTTTTTTTTTAATGTTAATTTGTGTTAGCAGTAATGTCAACCACGGGCATTGGTCTGGCTCTTCTGATTTGATTTCGGGCAGTTGACAATAGACATCGCTGAGAATATCTTTGCATTATGCCCTTTTAATCCACAAAATCTAAAATTGTATCACTAGTTGGAAGATTATGTTGTTTTGTAAATCATTACAATTGGATTGGGATTTATGGTTGTGTTTAAGGTTTGAAATTTTTAACTCAAACACAGTAGCTCCGCGATTCACCCGGAAATATATAAATGTCATCCATACAATTATACCATCGTAAAAGAGGAACAAATTCTTCTTGGGTCCTCGCTTGTACTTTCATTCTTGCTCAAAATCTTTACATCTTAAATTATGGAACTCCTCAAGAAGACCTTTTTTTTTTATATATTTTCTGACGGCTTTTTCACATTGTTTTTCAAATTTGTTGTGCAGTGTTGCTATTTATTACCCCCTTTTTATGACGTAAAAAGATCACAAAGTGAATATTCAATTATACAGGCTTTTCTTCATCATTATTGCCATACATCCATCGGTTTTTCTCTGAGAGGATTATGGCGAAATCCAAAGTCCTGTGACAAATTTTACTACAAACCATGATTACATAGAGTTTTTAAATGAAACCCACACATGAGAAACACGAGGCTATCATCCATCATCAAATAAACAGTTCTTTTCCCAGATAGTCACGAGAAGGCTACAGTGTTTAAATATTTTACACAATTAACCATATCAGGATATACAAAGGAAAGAAGCAGCATTGTGGTCATTGGGCTCAGTGTGCACAGTACACCTGTGGAAATGCGAGAAAAGCTTGCCATTCCAGAAGCAGAATGGCCTCAAGCCATTGGAGAGCTGTGTGGTCTGAATCATATTGAAGAAGCAGCTGTGCTGAGCACCTGCAACAGAATGGAGATATATGTCGTTGCTTTGTCCCAGCACCGTGGTGTCAAAGAGGTCACTGAATGGATGTCAAAGGTAAGTCCCGAGTTCGCATTTGGTAATATATTAATATCCAATTGCAATAATCATGTTGAATAATTCTGTTATTTGCAGAAAAGTGGGGTCCCTGTTTCTGAGCTTTGCCAGCATCGATTCTTGCTTTACAACAAAGATGCTACAGAGCATCTTTTTGAAGTATCTGCAGGCCTTGACTCTCTTGTATTGGGAGAAGGTCAAATCCTTGCGCAGGTCAAGCAGGTAGTTAAAGTTGGGCAGGGCATTAATGGCTTTGGGAGAAACATCAGTGGGCTGTTCAAACATGCAATTACTGTGGGGAAGAGGGTTAGAACTGAAACTAATATTGCTGCTGGTGCAGTTTCTGTAAGCTCAGCTGCTGTTGAGTTGGCCTTGATGAAACTACCAGAAGCCTCACATGATAAGGCCAGGATGTTGGTTATTGGAGCTGGCAAGATGGGAAAGCTTGTAATCAAACATTTGGTGGCGAAAGGTTGCACTAAGATGGTGGTTGTTAATAGAACTGAGGAGAGAGTTGCAGCGATCCGTGAAGAAATGAAGGGTGTTGAAATTGTATATCAACCCCTTTCAGAAATGCTCTCCTGTGCTGGTCAAGCAGATGTCGTTTTTACCAGCACTGCATCAGAAAGCCCCTTGTTCTTGAAAGATCATGTGCAGGACCTTCCTTCTGCAAGTCAAGATGTTGGGGGGCTTCGTCTTTTTGTTGATATCTCTGTTCCTCGCAATGTAGGTTCTTGTGTCTCAGATGTGGATTCTGTGCGAGTTTACAATGTTGATGACCTCAAAGAGGTTGTGGCTGCTAATAAAGAAGATCGGCTGAGAAAAGCAATGGAGGCTCAGGCAATCATTGTCGAGGAATCAAAACAATTCGAAGCTTGGAGGGACTCTCTGGAAACTGTTCCTACCATCAAGAAGTTGAGGGCTTATGCTGAAAGAATCAGGGCTGCTGAGCTTGAGAAATGCCTAAGTAAGATGGGAGATGATATCCCAAAGAAGACAAGGAGAGCTGTGGATGACCTTAGCCGGGGCATAGTGAATAAGCTGCTCCATGGTCCAATGCAACACCTGAGATGTGATGGGAGTGACAGTCGGACTCTTAGTGAGACCCTTGAGAACATGCATGCTTTGAATAGAATGTTCAGTCTTGAGACAGAAGTATCAATTTTGGAGCAGAAGATTCGAGCCAAGGTGGAACAAAGTCAGAAGTAATATCTGACTCCAATTATGCTGATCACACTTATTGATTTCCTCTATTCAAAAATGGGGGAACACTCTCGCCCTTTTAGGAATGAGAATCTTCAGTTGCATAGTTGAAACAGGAGAAGCCTCCCCGGGGAACCTAAACCCATATTTGCTCTCTAGTGTCTGCTTGGCGTAGCTTGTTTGGGGTTTTGGGTTTTTTCTCATTTGTGCAATGTTATTCCGTTGCCATTTTGATTGTACTATACCACATAAAGGAGTTGTGTTGGCGAGAGATGCTTCCCCTTGTATTGAGGGTCCTAATTGTAATTTAGCGAGGTCACATACTGAGATGAGACTGGTTTTTGAGCGTCTTTCTTGACGCTGGTTCTCCGCTCTGGTTGTTCAAATAAAGTTTTTATGCTTTCTCAAGATCGTGTAATTTAAACAATATTGCAGCTGACCATTCGATCAATATCAATACATGGATGTGGGCGGGTTTCCTGTATGTTTCGGATGAGTTTTGAGAAGGCTAATCATGTTCCACCTTTGACGGGGAATTAGGTGAATCTCACATTGTAGCCCGAATGATCAATGCATCAAATTGATCCCTGGAATCCGAAACTTGCAAAATCCCAGCAAATGGGATTGGCTATGCCATCTCTCTGGAGTCCGGACGCTTTCTGTGGTAGTTGGGGGGAAGGGTACCTCTGAACCAAAGCAAAGATCAGGGAAGAAGAATCTGTGTTTGTTCATTTCTTTTGGAGTGAGGGCGTGTGGTGGTGAAAGAATCCGTGGACATGAAGCGTGGATGCTTCAGGCACCCTACAATCGGAAACTCAGAGGGAATAATAACGTGGAGGACCATGGCACTGTCTAGAGATGAATGGTCCCTCAGCACCACGTCACATGAATTGAGCCACCAATCAAATCCATTTGTTTGTTTGATCTTTTCGTGGAATAACACTGATTGACAACACAGGCGATGTGCTGCATTTTCACACTACGGTCTCTTTCATTTTAATTCTTATGTTAACAACGAACAAGAATACAAAAGTTATAAACAACATCAAATACATATCATGTAAAACAAAATTTCATATTTATGCCTTCACTTTCTCTCCTTTTTTTCTTTTGCTACTTTCATTTCCAGCATCTAACCAAACAGAGCTTATAGAGGCTATTGGGAACACACGCCTAAAGACAAAGGACAGCGTAATTTAGGGGACAAGTGACACAGATGCTGGAATCCATCATCGGTTAGCAGTTACATTAATGATCACCAAACGATATAAATGGAGTATCGATGTTTAATGTTGACAATGAATTCGTATCGTATGTACAAATGCGTACCAAGAAATTAGCTGGAAATTGTTGTCAAAACTGGGGCAAGTAGCTGCAGCCGAAAGAGACAGTTCGAAGCAGTAACTCATTGAATTGTCAATTATAAGAAAGGAGCTTTCAGTGCCCTCCTATTGCACGTTGTTTGATGCAGCGTCCAAGCTTCAGAGGTAGCAAATGTCAATATTTAAATTGAAAGTTTTAAGAATTTCTTACGCTGCAAATTAAATGCCACATCTCGAACCAAGCTTGATTGTTCAGAAGAAGCTTAGATCAGGCATGTCGAGAATTACTACAAATTTTCCTGTGGTATTTGCCTGTTTCGCTCATTTAAAGCATCGCATCGGGTGGAGACCTTTTAACGCAGCACAGCATCTAGTTAAAAATTAAATTGTAAGTGACTTGGTAGTGTTTGTTCTTGTAGAGAAGACGCGGTGGTGGGATAAAGAAACACAAAGATGGGCCCCAAATCTGTTATTGTAGTCTGTGGTGAGTTGTAACAAGAGGGGACCACCTCCTTTATTTATTTTTTAAAAAAGGTTTCAGCGTTAATAACAACAAAGCGATCCAAGGCATCAAACTGCGAGATGGAATCTAATCATTTGTCCATTATTATTGCTGCAAGCCAGCCACCCGCCGTCTTAACTTCTTCCTCCCCATTATTTTCCATTTAAATAGGGGCAAGAATCTTCATTATTCGACCCACCCGTCTGGTTAATTAAAATTAGCAAAACAAATAAAAGCGTTGATATGTTATGCCAGGATATAATCCCAAGGAGGTTACCGTTTGAGAAGCGTACAGATAGTGTTTGGAATCAGGTGGTGAATTTTCATTTTCTCATCCTCTCAGTTCCCACACACACCAATGAAAATCCCAAAGCAATCATTTAATCCCACAAAAACCTCTCATCGCATCATATCTTCATCATTTACACAACACGCCCCCCCACCCATTCCTCCTCTCACACCCCATCACTAATGTTTCTATTTTTTTTTTTTCACTCTCTCTCTCTCTCTCTCTACTTCTGCAATTTTATACTTTATTTTCCAGATAATATTTTTTAAAAAGAAAGAGAAAAGAGAACTAAGCCTTTGTTTTGTGGGAAAAAAATTAAAACCTAGCGTTTTCGAAGCCGTGCAAGTCGCTGACTCTGTTCAATGACTTCTTCATGATGGCCACCTTAGCCAGCTTCTCAGCAGCTCTCCAAGCCGACGTCGGCGTGAGCGGCTCACCATTATCATCCACCAAGCTCGTCATCTCCCTCTCGCTCCCTCGCCTGCGTTCCTGCGTCATCATCTGCTGCTCCGTCGTGTTCTGAGTGCGCCAATGAAGCTCTGCCAGCTCAGCTTCCAACGCACGCACGTGCTCCTCAGCCGAGCTCGACTTGGCCTGCATCAAGAGCGCACGAGCCGAAGCCAGTAAATGATGAGCGCTGGTGAAGTCGTTGTAGTCCACGAGCCGGCGAGACTCGGCTATGGCTCGAGTGGATATGAAGAAATTCCTCAAGCGTTCGCTTCGCGTGCCCTGAGGTGGCGGAACCAGTAGGGCCTGTTCCCTACTCGATACGATCTCCTGAGAAGCGGGGTCCTTATACAAGCACCGTACCCTCATCACGTGGTGGGTCCCCAGTGCCGACGTTGGAACTCTCAGCTCCACCAGTAACTCCCTCTCCTCCTCCGCGTACAAGTCGCCGAGCCGTACGCTGCCTGAGCTCATTGCTGTTGTTCGACCGCCGCATAAATAGATGCCGCTGATTTCAGCCGCCGATGAGCCCGACTGGAAGCCGAGCTGAATTCTCAAGTCCTGTACAACAACACTCAACAGCCCACCGACGCACTTGGCCAAATGCATCCTCGGCCGGCTCGTGGCTGAAGCCACTCTTTTTTCCGAACCCGAAAGCATGAACCGGAATCTCAATGTGGGCGAATCGGGTCGAGGACGCGTGGTTCGAGGATTTCCGTTGGTTGTTGACGTTACTGCTGTGAACTCGTTCGTCCTGACCGTCCGATAGGAGCATCACGCTGGCAACCGGGTTTCTCTCCCTCCGGTCCTCCAGCACTTTTGCGGCTTTTCTCAGAGCATCGCCCACACAAGTGCCATGGCCAGGGACAAGCCGATCGATTATGCGCCGAGCCACGCGCTGTCCTTGAGCCGTCATTCTTCTCAAGGGTAAGAGCCGCTTGGAAGTGGCCGAGAAAGCCACTATGGAGAGCCTGTCGGCTGGACTGAGTGAGGAAATGACCAAACGCATCGCGCGCTTAAGCATGTGCAGCTTCGCGCCTGTCATGCTCGCACCAACGTCAAGAACCGTTACGAGATCTATGGGAGCTCGCTGCGACTGACCAAGACGCGGCGTCATACTGTTATTGCCACTGCGCGCTGCAGGAGGCGGCGGAGGAGCCTTCACTTTCAAAACCAAAGCGTAAGTCTCGTGGGTCCGGGAGACTGACACTACGGCACACTCGGGGATCAACTTCACCTGAACGTTCCTGGAATCTTTGTCGCTTATTTGCAAGTCATCAGAGTAAGATTTGATTGAGGATGAAGATTTTGCATTGGCAAAAAATCCCTGAAATTCTTCAACGTCGTCTTCGTCTTCTTCGGCGTTTTCGTCGGCTTCAGGTATTGGAATGATGCGACCACCGGATGTGGGAGACAGAAGCGGCTCGTCATCGTCGTAGGACCTGTAACAATCAAATTGCTTTGGGTGCTTCTGTGGTAATTGTTGGGGCGGTTCAACAAGCTGGGTTCTGAAAAACTGAGGATGAGTTTTCTTAGTCTTCTGGGTGGCATTTGGTTTTAGGACGTTCTTGTCAACCACGATGTCGTTCTTTTCGGCGGATTCTGTGGCGTGGTTCTTGTGTGCGGCTAGCAGAGGCACGTCTTTCCAGGTAGCGTTGCAGACGGGGCAGACGAGGCTTCCATGTTTGCGTACATAATCGGCGATACAGGGAAGTGAAAGGCATGAGTACATTCTGCAGTGTAAATGGCCGTTCCCTGACCGGTTTTTACGCTATTCAAGCAGATTCCACAACTACTCTGCAGGATAGGAAACCAGAAAAGACAAAACAAATCCATTAAGCCAATAGATCTCCCACCATTGATGCAATTGAAGAAAACCATAGCACTCAGAATCAGGAATAACTTACCCGGAATTTGAAGCTGTTCCTGAAGAGAGATAACTTCAAAGGAGAACGCGGCGATGCGGGATTTGAGGTTGAACTGGTTTTGGGGGACTTGGTTGCCCTGGGAGTATTTTTGCTTTGAAATCTGGGGCTGTCATTCACGTTTGCTGCTTCTGAAAGTGTCCGGCAACGCAAGCTCGGACTAGACACGGCTTGAGATTGCTGCTGCAAGCGCGGGGTGGAAGGATTGCCCCCGCCGGAGAGAAAACCCAATCGAACACAGCTTCTGGGGCTGGGGCTTGGACTCGTGCCCCTGTGCTGCTTATCGGATATGGCAGATTCCGGGTCACGAGTGCAAAAGGCTCTTCTCCATCCAGTTCCCATTTTCCCCCTCACAAACCAAAAACGATGAGAATTCTGCAGTACTCGCTCAGCTGAACCTTTTCCTTTAGCACGAAGTACCGAAACTTTATTCGCTTCTATCTCTATCTATGCCTTTTTATTCATGCTTACCAGAGGGGAAGAAGGAAAAGGAAGTTTTGTTTTGTTCTATTTTCGATCGATCTGAAGATGCCGCACGGGACAACAAAAGGGCAAGATCGAATTTAGTGATATAAGGCTTGGGATCAGACGAAGATAAAAGCCAAAGAGACAAGGCTAAAGCGATTCTACGATATCTAACTCCAGGCCTAAACACACAGGTTTTTGGTCTCACTTTTGCCTCCTCGCTTTCGCACTTAATGAAAAAG